CAGAGCAAAGATGCATCTCTTTCAAAATTGGCTGTAAATTTTTAGGCTCACAGTTGGATCAATACAGTTATACAATCTTGAACTCAGTATAAGTCCTGTAAGACATAAAATTGAATGAGTTTTTTAACCTTTAAAAAAGATTTCCATTTCATTATTTCATTGTTTTTGCTACTAACACTGAGATGTTGGCGCATGCATCTCTAATCTGTATGCATCTGATCATTACTAGTCATAATTGGTTGCACTTGGATCCTTGGCACCTGTGTATGTCTATAAAGTCATCAGGTAGGTTTTGAATGAGCAGCTCTTACTTGAAAGTTATTTCTTCTCTTGTGTAAAAGTAACAAAAGTGAACTCTTTTTTTAACTTTTGAAGTTTATTACTCTTCATCCACCTAAAATATTAGTATTAGTTATAGTGTTGTTCCAGCAACCTATTGAAATAGCATCCCATGTTGCAAAATTTGATTAGGATTATAATTTGTATTTCTCCTACTGCAATTATATTATCAGCAAAAGCTTAAAGATAACTGGCAACAATGATTTCTTTTTTTTTTTTTTCTTTTTGAGACAGGGTCTCCCTTTAGCCCCAGCTGGCCTGGAACTCACTATGTAGACCAAGCTGTCCTTAAACTCACAAAGATCTACCTGCCTCTCCCTCCCAAGTGCTGTGACTAAAGGCATGTGCCACCATGCCTGGCTTGGCAACAAAGATTTCTATCATCTGATGTCTTAACTCTTAAAAGTAATGGAAAGTTATTCAGGATTCTGTCACTAGCGGGTAGTAAGGATTCCTGGAATCTATTCCAGGTCCCAGCTTTGCGTCTTCTTGCTGTGAGTTCAGAGCCAGCCCCTTGAGTCTCTTAGTCTTCACCATTTTGCAATGGAGGAAGGGGAGAAATGATGGCATGCTTGTTTTCCTGTCCTTATGAAAGTGAAGATGATAACCTTATTCATTCAGAAAGTCTGTGTTTGCACTTGGGCACCAGCTTTGCAAATGAATGCTAACTTTTCACTGAATATACCCTTGGGAAAAATGACTAATCTTCATCTAGCATGCCTTCAGTAAGTGGCATTTTTGGTGTTAGTTCACTTTTGAATTTTCAAGAGGACAGGATCAGTCAGTAACCATATAGACATTTATGAAGTGAAAAATGCTGACACTATAACAAGTGTTCTGAAGAGATAGATGTTCAAGGAAAGTGGTCAAGGCATGAGAGGTTTTGAAAGCTGTGGACGGACATGTGGACAGACCGTTAAGCATGCATGTTTAACACTTATAAAGATCTCACAGGTTTAAGATCATGTTATTCATGTAAGAACAGAAAAGGTCATTTGTAAAAAGTTCATTTGACATATTTAGAGATTAAAATGTCTTAGCGAAATATTTCACATCACATGCTTTTTAAAGTATGCTTTTTAAGGGAGCATGTATCTTGAATTCATCTTGAAATTTGTAAAGTTGTTTTTATTCTTGTTATAGGAAATACATTTGTCAATGTTCACAAAATAAACTAGTCATGGTGATATTCTTTATTCTTTTTAAAAATTAGTGTGTGTGTGCATGCACATGCCTGCAGGCGCAAATGACAAGACCTGTGTGTAGAGGTCAGAGGACAAGTTTTCTGGAGTCAGGTTCTTCCTTCTACCTCGCTTGAGGCAGGGTCTCTCTTGTTCCTGCCACTGCTTTGCATACTCCAGGCCAGCTGGCCAGCATGTTTCCACCTTGCTTAAGGAGTGTGAGAATTATAGATGGGTACCAGCACATCTGGCTTTTTAATTTTATGTGTCCGAGTTTTTACCTGCATGCATGCATGTGCACCGTGTGCATGCAGTGCTTGTGGAGGCCAGAGGGGGGCCATCAGAACCCCTTGGAACTGGAGTTACAGACAGTTGTAAACCACCATGTGGGTGCTGGGAACTGAATCCTCTGTAAGAGCAGCAAGTGCTCTTAATCGATGAGCTCTTTCCAGCCCTCACTGCTGGGTTTTTTTATGTGGGCTCTGTGGATCAAACTCAGGTCATCAAGCTTGTGTGACTTGCAGCAAGTGCTTTTACCTGCTAAACTATCTACCCAGATCTCTCCCCTCTGTTTTTTGTTAATTTTGGGTTTGGGTTTTTTTTTTTGTTTGTTTGGTTGGTTTTTTGCTTTTTTTTGTAATAAGTATGAGAGTTAACCGTTATTGTGTGTGTGTGTGTGTGTGTGTGTGTGTGTGTGTGTCTGTGTGTCTGTGTGTGTCTGTGTGTCTGTGTCTGTGTCTGTGTGTCTGTGTGTGAATGAATGGAGGCCAGAGGAGTATGTTGGGCATCCTGCTCTATCACTCTCCACCTAATCCTTTGGAACAGGTTCTCTCACTGAACCTAAAGCTAAGCTCACACCCAGAACGAGTCTCAGAAGTCCTCTGTTTCTGCCTTCCCATCCCCTACCCCAGTGATAGAGTTACAACACACATGACCACACTCAGCTTTTTGCATGGGTTTCTGGGATTTGAAAATAGTGCTTCATGCTTTCCTAGGAAGTACTTTGAGCCATCTCTCCCACCCAGGAGTTCATCGGTCTTAACCCAAACTTCCTGCTGCAGTTAGAAAGACTGAGAAGTTGTGACATTACTTAACTCAACATAAGCTGATGTTAAGCAGACTAGAAAGCAACTGTGACCCATAAATAAGTGAATTCCAAAAGGAAGGTTCACAGTGAATGTCATCCTGACTATCTTTGTCCCAGAGATGGGGTCATACTTTATGGTCGAGGGCTCTTAATTTGATGATAAACAGAGAAAGAAATGGAAGAAATAGGAATGTGCTGGAAAATTTGTACTGAGACCTACATAATTATTTTGACAAGTGATTCACAGCTAATGGAGTACTTTTTCTGATTTATTCCTTTAGAAGCTTGAATTACCACCAGCTTATGACTTAAAATAAAGTTGAATGGTTTGTTTTCAGCATTTAAAAGCCTATAATTAACTCCAAAGATTCATCAGTCAGTTGGAATCCAAGTAATCTTTCCTTTAGTTATTATTTTTCCCTCACACAAATAAACATACAGGACCTCATGGTTTATGTGGCATGGTGATCAGTGAGGTCACCAGTCCTATAGGACAATGAGGTAAAACACTACAACATTTGAAAGCACAGACTTTGTAGTCATTGCATTAACTTGCATTCTGACTCCAACTGTTGTGGGAACTCGAGAAAATCCTCATCTGTAAAATTGGGATGATGATGAGACCTCATAAAGTTGGTGTGGGAATTAAGTGACCCGACTCTTAGCAAATCTTCCAATGATAGTATACTCTATCTTATGCAGCATGTATAGTAAAATACTCCTTTTCTGTTTGGATGAGCTAGGTATAGCTGTTAGCAAAAGAAAAGCTATCATTCATAATGCTCTAATGCCCCATACTCTTTTCTAATGCCCCATACTCTTTTCAGGCTGGTCCAGGCTCTC